AATCAAGACAGTCATTAGGTCCTGTAAAGGCTGCACACTTAGCTATCTGGCATCTTTGCAGGGCCAGTATTCAATCTACTCAGACAAAGGAAGCCCCACTAAAATGGTTTTCTCCTCCTCCCTCAGCTGCTTCTGAGCCCCTAGGAGACCAAGGGAAATGGCAGGCGCCCTAACATTATAATACCATGTGCCAATTGTGCTTGTTTTAAAAATAGAAAAAGAAATAAAATAGGAAAAAAGAATCAAAAAACAGAAGAAGCTAAAGACAAAAAAAGTCAAGCCAGCAATTTTTGCTAAATTGGGACAAATTTATGAGGCTAAAGGAACCCCCATGAGTATATTTTACAGCATATGTACATATGAGCCCACAACTAGAAAGTTTAGAGGATCTCCAATCTATCCTATGATTTTCTTTCCCTGTCTGTCTTGCTCTTTTTCAGAAGGTTGAAAAGCAGTCATTCAAGTTCTTTGTGGATTTTCTGCTTGGCAATATGGTTGAAGTTCACTGTAGCTTTTGTCTTTGAAGGGGTGTTTTGCTAAGCACTGGAGACCCACCCTGAAAAAAGCTTTTGGTATGAGTTGTCTTTCTGCCTTTGAGGTGGATGGAATTTGGCACTTCATACTCCAGGGCAGTTTTTTTTCTCTGCTGCTGCAGTTTCCTGGGATCAGTTTTCCAGGGTGGTGAGTTTTCCCCTTGCTGGACTCTTCCAGAGTGAAATTAACCTTTACTTATCTCTGGGCAATATTCTTAAAAGCTTTGAGCCTCAGACTCTTGAAGAATAAATGTAAATGCTTTAGTCCAAATTTATCAGCCTTTCTACCCTTAGACAAAACTGTAAATGAACTTCTTTCATTTTCCTCTCTTTTCAGGAGTGCTGTTCTAGGAAGTTTGGGGCATGAAAGCCCCTTACATGTTCATATTCATCTCATCCGTAACTCTGGCCAACACCTCCATAGTTATTAAATTTCTTCTTAGCTGGACGAATGAGTCTCATTATGAAAACTTTCCTGGGGGAAGAGAAGGTACTACTTCAACAAGTATGCACTTGGGATGTACAGGTGAAAAGCACTACAGTTTACCCCATGCTTGGTTTGAATCTCAGTTGCAAGGCCTTAAAGCCTCCAACTGTAATACCAATATGGTCCTAATCTATAGGAATGACACAGTACTAGACAACACTTCCCTCAAAAGTGGAGAGCGATATGAGCGGAAGCAGAGGTGGTATCTGACATGTTGTTGGCAGTTTCTCTAAAGTGAGGTCCAGATAGGAATTCAGCAATGCAGCTCAGCCTAGACACAACTAAATCTCAAGAAGTAGTTCTGTAGCCGGGGCTCTGCTACTTCACTTTAATAGAAGACAATTTTTACAACTGTTGTAGCTAGGGCCAGGAGATAGCACAATGACACAAGTGCCTGCCTGGCAAGTGCAAGGTCCTGAGTTTGAGTCCCAGTACAAAAGAAAAAAAAAACAAAAATAAATGTTGCAACTCACACTTGCAGTTTAATTTTCAGAATCCATTAAGTCTGGGATGGTGCATTGTGAGGGTATTGTGTGTGTATGATGGGGCCTCATGCACGGCAGGCAAGTGTACTACCACTGAGCTGCACCCTAGTCCCAACTATGCAATTTTAATAATGTGACAGCAGTAAAATATACAGCCCATGGCCAAAGCTGAGCTGAGATTTAAGTCATAGGTTTGAACATTTTCATCATTAAAATATATAAAATAAATTATATAATTCATACCAATATTTAGAAAAGAATAAATATCCAAATCAAACAAAGGAAAAGAAAGTGTATGGACATAAAAGTATAAAAATGGGGATTATATTGAAAGAGCATGAGGACAAGCCTATTTAAGAGACATCCTTTTAAAAATTTAAATATCATGGACTCTGTTATATAAGAAACCCAAAATATGATTTTTTTTTTTGTTTTTTTGAGACAGGGTCTCACTATGTAGTTCAGGCTGGCTTTGAACACACTGTCTCCCAGGCTGGACTTGAACTCATGTCAACCCTCTCATCTTAGCCTCCCAAGTGCTGGGATTATAAGCATGCACCACAGCACTTGGTCCAAATTATAAATACTTTAAAGAGCAAAATAAAAGACAAATGATAGAAAACAGGGAGGTAGATTTTTTTGAAATGGAAATAAGGTCTAGGGTCAGACAGGAGGAGAAGGAGAAGTAAAAAGGAATAAGATGTGACTTTTATGTGTACCAACGTCCCATAATGTGTGTATTCATTGTGTACTGCAAACATGTATTACTAAAAAATTTTAAAAATAAAGACTATACTTCACACATTTCTGTATAGCATACTCAAAGAAAGTTGTGCATGTCAATAAATCAAAGAAGAGGAGAAAGAGAGGGAAAGAAAGAAGGAGGAAAAATGGAAGAAGAGGCAGAGAAGGTAGAAGAAGAGGAGCAGAGAAGGAGGAGGAGAGAGAAGAAGGGGTGGAGAAGGAGGGAAATGCATCCAATTGGAGACAAATCTGAATAAAATCTAGCAATTTTCCTGGTGAAACCAGAAACAATGATGTCTTCTTGGAAGGACTGGCATAGGAAAGGGATTTCTAAAGTTGACAGATGGGAACAAACCCAATGAGACGTCACAGAGAACTTTTTAAATAAACCAATGTGATGACAAGCTAAGTGAAAAATTTAAGAGAAAGAACTTGAGCTTCCCTGGTCCAAAAAACCGAAATTCTATGTGCTCCAAAGTGTAAAAGTTTTTGAGTACTCACACAACACCACAAGTGGCAAATTTCTCACATGAACTCACACCATGGATCCCAGTCCAAATGCAGGAGCACTAAAAACTCACAAGGTTCAGGTTTTGTGTGTAAAATGTGCATGCGACGTAAACCTACTTCATGCTTGCACTCAGGTCCCACCCCTGGGGTAACATTATGTATCTTTCATATGCCAAAATCTGAGAAAAAAATGAAAAATTCAAAACAATTCCTGTTCAAGCATTTCTGATATGGAATTCTCAGTGTATAAACAAATAAATTGAGGACTCCAGAAATGACAAGACAACGTTTAAACTATCTATTCGGTCTGAGACAGACTCAAGACAGCACTTTTAAGAAGACACAGAATTTTGGAAACCTGAGAAGAGCTGAATGATCACATCAGCTCACACCAGGGATGCTGTTCAGTCTCAAGATCCCTGGTTCCAGAGATGCATTTCCCCTCTTCTCCACCTCATCTTCTCTCTTCTCCTCTCTCATCCTCCTCTTCTTTTTCCTTCTCCTCCTATTCTTCCATGTCTTCTTCCTTTTCTTTTTCCCTTTTTTCTCCCCCTTTTGCATTTATTGACAATACCTCTTTTTCAATGGGTGTTGCGCAGGACCATAGCTGTGCTTGCCACAGATCTGTTCATCTATATTTAGGAAACACTGTCACCAATAAGTTGCATTTTCAAGCTTTTTTTTCATCTAAGAGAGCTGCCAAATATTATCAGTGGGTCCTATGTGTAGAAAAAGATCTTAGGAAGTATATGTGTCTGTTCACACCGTGGGACTAGTCAGTGACTGGCAAAAAAAAGGAATTCTGTGAGAAGGAGCCATGTTTCCACAGAGTGGAGGTCGCAGCAGTCATGAGAAGGGAGGCTCAAACAAGGAAAAAGGCATGCTCATACAAATTGTGGTAATAAATATGGTGAGTTTGTCTTACAAGATCAATGGAAAAATTAAAATAAAACTCAAGTGACCCAAAGTAAGTGGAAAATCACAGTCCATAAATATGAAAACACAAATGAATTAACCTAAATTATGGATGAATGGATAAAGAAAATATCATCTATCTGTCTATTTATCTATCTATCTACTTATCTACCTACCTACCTACCCATCTATCTTTGAATAATATTCATCCATAAAAAGAACAATATAATTTTTGGCAAAATGGATGAACTTGGAGGATGTGTTATTAAGTGAAAAGCGCCAGGTATAGAAAGACAAATACTTCAGAATTCCCATCATCTGTGAAAACTAAGTAAGTTGATCTCACAGAAGTAGAGAATGCAGTAGTGGTGGCCAGAGGGTGGAAAGGTCAGTGCAGAAGAGGAATAGAGAGAAATTGCTCACTGAGTGCAAAAATACAGTTAGGAGGAGTAATTTCTAGTGTCCTATTGCACAGTGCTATGACTCTAGTTAAAAATAATTTGTTGTATACTTTAAGACAGGTAAAGGATTTTGAATTAACCCTAACACAAAGCAGTGGTAAACGTTTGAGGTGATGGATATGCTAATGTGATATGTTGTGTATATTACTGAAATACATTCTTCCCTATAAATTGTACAAAAAAATTATGGCTCAGTTTTTTTTTTTTTTTTTTAATACTGGGAACCGAACTCAGGACCTTACGCTTGCCAGGCAGGTGCATGTGCCGCTGAGCTATATCCCTATCCCTGGCTCAGTCTTTTTTTTTTAAAGTTCTAATTCTGTTAAGTCTATTAATTCCCAAAGAATTCAAGTTTCTCATGGATTGAAAAGGGATTTTTACAGCTACCTTCCTTATTCCCCTTAAATATATAGACAACTGATTCTGTTGGGGAGGACTCCATCGACTTTTATGGGTATTTCTCAACATCCCAGTCTCGCATCTTCAGAGTGTAGCGTTTTCTTGAGCAATCTCATCTGTTTTTCTCATAAAAAACCCAAGTTTACAAATACTTTCCCGCTGGATTTTCAGTCCTAGCTTGATCCTGGGTACACCCCAGGGAGCATTTCCTAAGAAACTAGACCTCACCAGGTCAAAAACTTGAGTGAGCATTTTGACCCTTAAACATGACCCATCTGCAGGGGCCATCTCTCCTTCTTGGCTGTTCCCCACTACTTTTTTCGCTCCAACAAGAAACCCTGGAGCGCTCCTCAGCAGCCGGTGCCGCCTGCAGACCCTCCCCTGGGCGCGCAGCCCCGCCCCCGCCTCCGGGCCGCCCGCCCGACCCACGGACGCGCAGGCGCAGTGTCCCTTGCGCTACCCCTCCCGCCTCTGCGGAAGGCGCTGCGCTGGCCTCCTCGCACTTCCTCTCCGGGAGTCCGTGCAGGGAGCACCCGCTCCAGGAGCTCCAGGACGCCGAGGCCCTGCCCTGGTCAGACAGCGCAGAGATGTCCGAGCAAAGTAAGGACCTGAGCGACCCCAACTTTGCAGGCGAGGCCCCCAGCCCCGGGGCGCACACCAGCCCCGGGGAGCCGGTGGGGGTCCCTCTGCCAGCTTCTCCGGCCGCTCCCCTCGCCCAGCCCCCCAGCCCCCCCGCAGGCCCGAGCGCTTCGCCGTCGCCCCGGGACGAGATGGAGGAAGTGGACCCGAAGATCCTGCGGCAGGCCGCCGAGGAAGGCCTGGTCTACCATCCCCTGAGTGCGCCCCAGCCGGGCCCCGCGCCGCCCGCCCCGGCCCAGCTGGTGCAGAAGGCGCACGAGCTCATGTGGTACGTGCTGGTCAAGGACCAGAACAAGGTGGTCATCTGGTTTCCAGACATGGTGAAGGATGTCATCGGCAGCTACAAGAAATGGTGCAGAAGCATCCTCAGGCGCACCAGCCTCATCCTCGCCAGAGTTTTCGGGCTGCACCTGAGGCTGATCAGCCTGCACACCATGGAGTTTGCACTGGTCAAAGCCCTCAGCCCAGAGGAACTGGACAGGGTGGCGCTCAACAACCGCATGCCCATGACAGGCCTGCTGCTCATGATCCTGAGCCTCATCTACGTGAAGGGCAGAGGTGCCAGGGAGAGTGCCGTCTGGAACGTGCTGCGCATCCTGGGGCTTCGGCCCTGGAAGAAGCACTCCACCTTCGGGGACGTGAGGAAGCTCATCACCGAGGAGTTCGTCCAGCAGAAGTACCTGAAGTACCAGCGCATCCCCTACACGGAGCCCCCTGAGTACGAGTTCTTCTGGGGATCCAGAGCCAGCCAGGAGATCACCAAGATGCAAATCATGCAGTTCCTAGCCAGGGTCTTTAAGAAAGACCCCCAGGCCTGGCCTTCCCGGTACAGAGAAGCTCTGGAGGAGGCCAGAGCCCTGCAGGAGGCGAATGCCCCTGTCCACTGCCCCCGCAGCAGTGTCTCTGAGGACTAGGGAGGTCTGGAGGCAGATTCAAGGTGTCTGACCCTCACCAGTGCTGTGAAAGGGTGGGGTGGATCCTTAGCCTATTCAGAATTCACAGTGCAGTATTTCATGTGTAACTTTTAAGTTTTCAGTACCACGCTTTTATACCTTTACTGCAATGTTGTATTCATTTGGGTACGGTTGAGTAGTGTTTAGGATTTATGCATGTTTGTTTATAAGTAAGTTCAGTTGGTGCTTTGGCTTTTGTGCTTTCTTGGATTTCTTTTGTATCAGAAATGTGCTAAACTTATGAAGTACATTGTAAACTTTATCATCTTATTCTTTGTATGGGACCCATGATGTGTGTTGGGATAGACTGTTCCTGGAACTTGGGAAGAACTCACAGGAAAGCTGGCCTGACCACGAGAAGAGTGAGGCCCCTCCTGCTCAGTGACCTGGCTGGGCACAGGAAATAGCCATGCGGAGTGAACTGATTTGGACTGCAACGGTCTCCCTGTGGGCACTTGGCACACCTCGCTACACATGTACAACCCCACCATGAATAAACTTTAAACATTAAAGATTCTTGTGATACAATCATTTTTGGAAAAGTGTACTTTAGTTTGTTAACCAGGGAGTGTGGGTGGGAGTCCTGGCGAGTAGTTCTCCATTGTGCATATATTATTATAACTATTTCTCCTAATAGGGTGGGAAAGTTGTTACTTATGAGTACCCATAGATGTGTGAAGTGGATAGTTTTGCATAGCCTGTACTCATTTGAAAAACTTTGGCACATAACAGAAAAGTCTAGCAACAAACAAAAATTGCCCCTCATCACATTACACAGAAGTAACTGGTAGTATTTAGCATAATTTCCTTCCTTTCACTTCTTGCATTAATCACAGTTAATAGCTATCTTTTGTGGGCACTGACAAGTGTGGGACACTGAAGTAAACCCTGTACATAAATTTTCTTTAATTTTCCCAACTGCCTTAACAGGCAGGGTCTGACTGCATCAGTACTGTGGAAAACATATAAGGGATAAATATTTGTAAAAATCTTCCCATAGATCATAAAGCTCAATATTAGAAGGAGCTAGGATTTGAACTCCAATAGAATGAATTTACACCCCCTAATTTTCCATACCTGTATACAATTTCCTTCCTGCCCTGTGGCCTTTATTTTTTTAGATTGCGTTTTGAGCTAATTCTCCTGACTCCCCACTGACACTCAAATGGGTTCTCATTTCCCGCCCCATAGAAGCTAAAGATTTTATTTTCCCAATTAATCCTAACAGTCTTTTAGAAAAAAAATATTGTGATTGTACAAATTAGGAAACTTGAATCCAGAGAGATTCAGTGACCTCACAAAGTCCTATTTCCCTTAGAGGTGAAGCCCGGATTTCAAGCATGATCTTTTCATCTTTTCAGGCCTGAGGGTTAGTTAGAGGAGAAGGACACTGCTCTGACAAGTTATGCTCCAGAAACACAAGTGACACCAGGGAAAGGGAGCTGGAGCTGAGGTTGGGGGTTCCTCACTGGGACATTTATGGGCCAGCAGTGGGCCCTAGGGAAACCCCTGGGAAGACAGAGTGGGACAGAAACCCCTGGAAGATGGAGTGGGACAAGGGTGGGGGTGAAGGGCAATGGTGGGAGAAATATTACATGAAGCTTTTAGTCCTGTGAAAGGGAAAGGAGAAAGGGGAGCTTCAATCAGACCTGAAATCCTTTAAACTCCAAGAGTGACCGGACTTTACATTAAGGCCATTATCAGAGGCCATTTGCCCAGAGCTAGAGACTTTTCTGGGCAAGGTGAATAAAAGGGTCCTTATGTGTGGCTTCACACCCCAAAGACATAAACTGGGGGGCCTCATTGGGGTGAGGAAATTGTAATCAATGGATTAGGAGCTCGGATCCCCGACACTTAGTGGCATTCCTTAGCAGGTCTGTGCAAGTTCTGAAAACGGTGTGAGGTCTTTCATGAGAGTGGGACTGGGTACGGGGGACATTTCTATAATAGCCCAGGTAGGGGCCGTATGGCTTTGGCAAGACCTCTTACACAGACCCAGTGTGTGTGTCACCCATGTTTTAAAAAAATTAAAATTATTGAGAACCCTTCTCCCCTCCCCAAACCACATCAAATGAAATCAAAAGATATCTGCCCCCTTTAATTTAAAGTTAGGGTTCTATCCAAGGTGTTCCATGTCTGCAGTGGGGCCATGCTTGCCATTTTTGCCATGGCATGGTACCAATCATTTTCCCTCCCACCCTCACACTTTCCTTACTATCAGATTCACACTTCACATCAACTCTGAGCTCTGCACGCTTCTTACACACACCCGGAACATGCCAAGCAGCCAGTCCAGAATCACCTTCCTTTCTGCCACAAGAGACACGGAGAACGATCCTCTACAAAGTGACTGGGGTCACTGACACGTCTCCAGCCACACTGCAGAGGACAGCCCTTGCCGCAGCACAGGACTGCCAGAAACGAGGAGCTGTCCCCCGCCAGGCACACAGAGCAGGGCTTCTCCACAACCGTGTTGTCTCAGACATAGAGGAGGAGGCTTCACAGATGTAGAATGAATTCCTTTTATGCCACCTGGTCCTGCAGAGACCACAGCTTGGGGCATGGGGAAGAGGTACGGAGTAGCTCTCTTAGATTTTCATGCTGTGCACGAAACTAAATATTTTTTTCCTATAAGGTGCTAGGATAGGTCACTCAGGAAAGGGTCAGGGGATTGACCATCAGTGTTCATATCCAGGATGGCAGTCTGGTGACACTTAGATGGCTTTGGTGGGAAAAGGTTTTCCTAATTTCTAGTAATGTGTGACCTTTTACCTGCCAAACAGTCATGCAAACATGGTTCACTCTAATTAATTTCATTTTATTAAAGTCATGGAGGGCAGAAAGGGCCTTTGGAAATTTAATATAAATTGTGATGACACATAGCTTAAGCAGTCCCAGGAGGAAATAAATAGTTTTAAACAGTATTATGATTAAATCAGACAGAGATATTTTAAATAAATTAATCCAGAGTTAAGTCTTCTCTCTTCTTGAAGACCACAGCCTCTTCCACCTTCATTTGTAACTTACTGATTCAAGATCACCAATTTCAAGCACAGCTGTGATCTAAATTTCTCAGACAAATACACAAGCTGTTTATAAATAAGTACATTTTGTCATCCCCTTCCTCGATTTTTAGATAATGAAGGACTAGAACTGTATCTGAACTGTGTAATGTTTCCCTGATGCTTGACTTAAGGGCCTGCATATGGATGTGCTTAATGAAATGTTTGTTATTTAGTTTAAGCAACTTAAAATATTAGAAAACATCTCCATATAGAAAATAAAACCAAACATAGTAAATAGTAATCAACCCACCCAAAGTTGAGAAAATATAGATTAGTCAAAAGCAGTGAAAGAAAAAACTGCAGAGAAATAGCAAAAACAGAAAACTGTCTCAAGTATCAGTTCTTTAAATACTCCACAAAATGAGCCTGTAGGTATACATAGTATAAATAAAGAAGACATAAATACAGCAGTGTTCCAAAGGTAAAAACACACATAGCAAGTGAGAAAATGAAAAAGAAAATCCAGTTTCATTACTAAAGCAAGCTCTTTATGTCCATTAGTTGAGCAGACATAAAAAACAAGGATCCAGTACTAGTAAGAGTGAATTTAGATAAGCATTCTTTTACTCTGCTACACTGTAGCATGGCAAATGATGAAACACTGTGTTGTGTGCTCATTCAGAATGCACACTGGGTTTCCAATATTTTGCAGACGTCATCCTGGGAGTTAGGGGTGAAGGGTGAACTGGATAAACATTGTCCTGTGGTCCCTTAGCATTCACTACATTGAAAGAAGCAGGTAAATGACAATTACACTTCAATGCCGGGAGTGTTACGCTAGGAGAAGTATGAGGATAAAGAGGCAAAGCAGGCGTGCACAACTTGGACATTCCAAGAGAAATGTTGCATTAATTGATATCTATAGAATGAGAAGTAATTAACAACCGGAAAGCAACACAGGGCAGGATCAACTTGTCAGGCGTTTTTCTGTATCCAAGGAAACGCTGTGCAAATATACACAAAGCATCTGTGACATATGTCTTTTGGAAATATAGTACAAAGGAGATGGGAAATGTATTTCTAATCAGGAGGTCTAAAACAGCCTTCTTTATCTTTTAATTTTTTCCATCATTCTTTATTTTATCTTCTAAAAGTTTAGAGCCCTTAACTAGATTACTTATTTTCCCATGTCTTAGTAGTATCTTGTTCCCACCTATCTAATACTCAAATATCTCACTGCCTTTATTGTATAAAATTTATTTACATATTTATTTAATATATATTTGTTGAGCACTGACCACATGGTCAACTTGTGCTGGGACTTGTAGATATTTGTGAAATACTAAAGATGGTCTCCAGGGGTGTCCAGTGGTCCTCTCTTATATGCTACCCACCCAGTCACTTAATAGCTACCTTGGTTACCAGATTAAGTATTCAGATATCAAAGTGCTTCTGTTCAAGTAACTTGTTTCACTTAATGACTAACGCAAAGTGTAAGAGTGTCTGTTCTGGCAATTCTATTCAACAATATTGTTACAGTTGTTTTATTTTATTATTCTGGACTTAGGTGAAGGATAGACAATGTGATAAGGGACATAAAGCCGAGGTCCTGACTCTGACGTTTCAGTCTTAAGCACAGGTGAAGTGCCACTATGATTTAAGCTAAGAAAAGGAGATAATATAAAAGGTCTTGGGTAAAAACAATGAACAGCTTGCCTTTGAGGATTCTGTGAAATATTGTAACAGAGATAAGGTAGGTAATAAAGACATTGGGTTCAACAAAATCATATCCTGGCAGTGCAACATGCATTTATCTAGAGAGAAAGCATGAAGAGTAAAGAGAACTAAGTTCATGACTCCATTCAGGGAAACAAATATTTTCACATCAAGTAGCAAAGAAAGACTAGTAAGAGACTATGAAGAGAAACTGGATGATAGAAAGGTAAGGTGGGGCTAACTGGATCATGGAAATCAAAATAGCACTTTGAGCCAGAGCAAGTGACTAAGCATCAACTGCTGTTGAGATAGTGTAAGAATTTGGGATCATTAGTGAGTAGGGAAAGGATTAGGAAGCTCATGTGCAAGGGTGCACTGTGTATTTAGCACTAACTCAGGTGAGAGATGACGGGAGCCTATAACTCAGAAGTACGTATTAAAGGTGGACAGTAATGGAGAAGATTTAGAAATATTTGGAGATTAAGTTTGCAAAAGTTAGTGATTTATTAATTTTTTTTTGTTTATTTTTTTTCCAGTACCGGGAATCGAATTCACGACTTTGCGCTTGCCAGGCAGGTGCTGTGCCACTGAGCTAAATCACCAGCCCCTGATTTATTAAATATTATGAATAAAGAAAGAGAGGAGGCGAGGACTGTGGCCAGGTTTCTAGCATGAACTGCTTCTTGAGAAGGGCCACTTCTTAGTTTTGGAAATGAGCAGATTTATGAGGGAGGATGCTGAGTGCAGTTTTAGACATGTTGAGTCTGACACGAATGTGTGACCAGTAAATAGGGATGTGCATTTGATTGG